ATCTTTCAATCACAAAACTTGAGGGAGAGTTTCTTCAAGTAGATGGGATTGATGCATTACATGGATTATTGCTAGTTTCCCTTTTTTTCAAGTATATTATTAATGGGATTGAATTGATTGTATGTAGATAGCTTTTTACAATTTATTAAAAGTTTTTTCTTGAATTTCAACATAAAATCTTCGTTACTGTTGATTTCTTTATTGAAATATTTGTGCATCACACATCCACAGCTAATGCTTGGCTTCAATGGCTATTTATTCAACGAGACCATTTAGGATAATATGTAGGAGAATTTTGACATATTATATTTGAATCTTAATAGGAAATACTCCAATTGAAAGTGAACTCTCTTGGCTGAATTTGAATTTCAGCAAACCCCAAATAGTAAAAAGAGAAAAGATTTAGGTAGAAACTCACAAAAGAACATTTTAATTGATGGTAGCAAGAAGAAAACAAGAATGATACAATGGATCTTTGATTTTAGAGTAAGATCTGGCTCTTCCAAATCCAAACCGCCCACTAGAGTCCTTCCTCCTTAGGAAAACAAAACTCAGCCAAAATATTCGATAGACCTGAAACTCCAGCAAACAATCCTACTAAAACATACAAAAAATCTTCCCAATTCCAAAACAACCCCTAAATTTGAAATTGTCCTCCTAATCTCTCTTTAATTTCTCATTAATTTGGTCATTGGACCCCACCCCCAAAGGGGGCGGCATTGATTAGGGTGGAACCTCTATTCAGCCTCCAATAGACTAAGCCGGTCCAGGTTGGACTGGTCTAACAAATCCCTATTAAGATCTGTAAATATCTACCAAAAGTTGTACTACTCCTTAATAAATTCTAAGCCTAACCGTTATATTCTCTAAATAACATTAGTCCTTTTTAGCCAAATGTCTCCCCTCTTTTCTCAATGTTAATTGAGCTTTTATTGTGCATTTCATACATTTTTGTAAGGGTTTGGAGACATTATAGTGTTTTCCACCAAGCATGTACTAACCTAATAAACTTTGAGGATTCTCCTTCCTCATGCATAAAACTGTACAAAGTTCATCTTCCAGCAATTTGCAAATGAGAGATCCAAGAGAATTCTCAAGAACAAAGAATTCTCAAGAATGAGGTTTCTAAGAAGCATACATAGATTTGGTCTAAGAACTATATACATTTTTGAATACTTTTCTCTCATTTGCTCTTTACAATTCATTTTATCTCTTAAGATAGGAATAATCTGAATCTTTCTTGAGGAAGTAGATAGACAAAAAACATATTGGATTGTTTTTTGAAGAACCAAAGGCAGAAAATCCCACAAAAAAGTAAGTTAAAAAATTTGGCGTAAATGCAGCCCAACTTCCGTTACAAAGAAGGCATGGAAATCAACATTGAAATTCAACTCAGATCAAGGGCTGCAATGTTCGATTATAGGCAATAATCTAACAAGAATAATATCACATAATATGTACTTCTACAATTTGTAAAACCCACAAAAATGCCGTTTTAGACCTCGCACGTTTTTCGATGCGTCGCGACGAGTTTTAAGTGAACTTGAAAGTCGTCGGAATTCTACGCAATAAATTTTATAAAATAGAGTGCAAAATTCTAAGTGAAATGATGTATAGAACCCATATCGGATTTTAAGTATTTTGGGAGTTCAAATTTCCGGAAAGCCCTTAATGACAACTTTGCCCTTGATGACCTTTGAATAGAGAAGATGTTTAAGTGAAGGCTTATAGGTAAATATGCATTTAAAGAGAGCATTCCACTCTTATTAGGGGACCGAAATGTTTCGGTCCCCATTTCATTCTTGCGGCCGAACCGAGCGAAGAAGGAGAAGGGGGCGCGGGTAGGAGCGGCGATGGGAAGCTTCGGGCGCAGGTTTCCGGCGGCCGTTCGTGGAGGAAATTGTAGGAAATCCAAGGGAAGGCTAAAGTAAGTGGATTGCAAGAATTTTCTTTCTTTTTCATTGAGTTTTCTCTAAGGAATGAAAGTTAGAGTTTTGAGAAAACTTGAGTTTTCTTTGAGACAAGTCTAGTGAAGGGTAAGGGGATATTTTTAAACCTAATAATGAGTTGTTTTTAAGAAAAATATGAATTTTGGAAATTAGGGTTTCACTCAAAGTGATTTTTCTTTGGAGATGCCTTCATAAGAGTAGTTCCTAATGGCATAAAAAAGTTTTTAATTGAAAAATAATGTAAGGTTGGGAAACGTTTTGAGTTTTAGAATTTAGGGTTTTTCTCTAATCAAGAAATTTTATATCATTATGGTTCTAATTGGCTTTTAGAAGGATTTTAAAGACTAATGTAGGGCTTTTCCATGAAATACAAGTTTTTCATAATTTTGATTTAACATTATCCGAAAATTAGTTATATTTTAATTACTATTTGATTGTAGGGAGGATGTTTGCATGTATAAAACCTGAGATTTATGACTAAATCTTATTTGAAAGATAATGGGAATTAGAGAAGTCATGAAATGGTGGGATGGGTTTGAATTGAAAACATAGACATGACATAAGGTTGAGCTCTTTATTATCAAGATTAAGGGTTTAGGAAGTTATGTGAGACTAGTTATACTTACACATTGTGTATGTCTCTTTTAGATATTGAACGTGTAAAGGTAAGGGTTTTGATTGGACAACCGGAAGTGATGCACAAGTTGAGGTAGGTGAAATAGACTTCTTTTAAATTTAGAAAAGCTCTTTTTACATGCAAATACATAGAAATGACATTTCTCCTTTTTATGCTCTTTATGATATTGTTATGACTAGCATGTTCCCTATATAAGCTTATGATCTCTTGATGCAAATGTAAAGTCCTTTCTATGCAATATTAGAACTCATGAATGAATCTCATGCTTCTTTCTTTACATGTACTATACATGTCTTCTCTTTTACATGCAAATAAACATATGAGCATAGCAAACATGTATATCCTTATGAAAACATATACTTGAATAGTTTACCTAAGCCTCTCTTATAAATATGTAAGAATTATGTGCATATGCATGTTGACGCGGAAGTATCAAATGGTAAAGGAGCTCTTTTGAGCAATGGTAAAGGAGGTTCTTTTGAACCAAATGATAAAGGAGGTTCTTTTGAACCAAATGGTAAAAGAGATTCTTTTGAACCAAATGGTAAAGGAATAGTCAATTTTATGTACCTGATCAGTACAAGTGATACTTCCGAGACGAGTGTTATATATATATATATATA